TTGTATTTGGTCAAATGGTTTTCTTTGAAAATTTTTATACTATATATATGTAATTTTTTTTAATCATTTATTTTTGTTAGAAATATGAATATATTTCCAGTCAATTAGGAAATACTCAGTTTACTTATAAAGACCCCACATCAAATTTTAATAGAAATAAAGTTAAAGGATTAGTTGTTGAATTGATTACTTTAGATTCAAAATATGCCGAATGTTCAACAGCTTTAGAAATTTGTGCTGGTGGAAGATTATATAATGTACAACAATATTTATTTATTTATTGTCATATAGATAGTGGTATTGCTTTGTTTTAATGTAAAAAAAAATAACATTTGTTTATTTATTAAATTTCAGGTTGTTGTAGATAATGAAAATGTTGGTACATAACTTTTAGAAAGAGGTCAACTTAAAAGATGTGTGACTATCATTCCACTAAACCAAATCCAAGTATCTAAAATGTCATCTGAGGTAAAAGAGGAAAGGATAATGTAATTTATGTAATTATTTATTAATTATTTTTATTTTTGTAATAGAAACTTGCAGTTTCTAAACAAATTTCTCCAGACAAAGTAGATTTGGCATTAAACTTGATATGTTATGCTAATGAAGTAAAAGCAGCGATGGAATATGTTTTTGGCAATACATTGATTTGCATGGATGCTGAAACAGCAAAATGAGTCACGTTTAACAGGAATGTCCATACTAAATCTGTTACTTTGGATGGAGATGTTTACGATTCATCCAGTACTCTTCAAGGCAGATCTAACCCCCCCCCCCCCCTCAGCTGGGATTCTCACAAAAATGCAAACTCTTAAAGATATAAAAAAAGAATTGGAGTCTCATAAGCAAGTTTTACAAAGTTTAAATTCAGAATTAAGAAACTCACAAACTATTATGAATAAATATAATCAAATAAAGAAAGAATTAGAATTGAAATCACATGCAATTACATTATTGGAATAACAGATAAAACAAAGGAGTAACTCACAGGTATATATAATTATTAATTATCTGAATGAATAATTGTTTAAATTTTTAAAAAAGATTATTATTGTTAGATTATTCAAATTGTTGATAACA